GTATCCGCCATCTACGTTCTTCATTTGGCTAAATTATTGGATGAAACCGAAAATCACTAAATGTATGCAGCTTTTAATTCGAATTGGCTATGCGAAAACGATTAAATTTACACACATCAGAAGAGAAGCAAAAAATGCGGATTATTTTCTTAACTGTTTGATATCCAAAGAAGAAGAATTTGAGATTTGTATAAAGGTGAAGTGCAAAACGTGAGGATCTTACTTTCCGCTGATTAACTTGGAAGTGCTTTTCCTTTTTATTAGATTATTCTGATTGAACGCATACTTAACTATATGATTGAATGCTTCTGGTGATTGGCCCATTTCTTACCCCGAAACGAACTTTGGGCAATGCTAGGAAGGAAAATTTGTAGTAGTCTAGGGATTCAATTTTAGTAACCACAATCTCTCATTGTCATTTGCAGAAGTATGACGCAATCGGAGTACAGATTCTACAGCTTTTGTTAACGGTAGATCTTTCAGAAAAAACGATTGTAGTGCCGGATACCTCGCTCGTATTCAGAAATTCTAGTGGATGCGTATAACTGAGATATTATTGCCGTAACCTTTCAAACCGTTTTGAAGAGTATAACATTTTATCTGAGAAATCAAATTCGGTAATAGTAAAAAAGCGGCAAGAAAGAGGAAGAAGCACGAATTGTTAAGATTAAAGGCTCTAACCAATGCGTTTCAGATCCAAAATACCCCTGTTTACAACCGATATAATAATCACAGAGGCCATTAGTGTAAAGCAACTTAAAAAGCAGTGCTGTACTGATGGGGATATCCGAGGTACCTTTGACGATTTAAGCACGGACTCTCAGTCCACCATAGGTGCAATTTAGGTCGTAGTTAGTTTACCAGGTAATTTGCAATTTAAGTTCATGAAATCAGCGTGCAATGTTTTTAGGAAAAACAATCATAGGTAACACGATCGTTCCCTCAGGAAACGCATAACCTGAAAGGAGGACTACAAATTATTTTGCTTGAGAAACTTAAGATGGAGCCAGAAGTCATGTCGTAGTTTCAGAAGGAAGTGAAGCCGACCCCGTTACCCTTAAGATCCTTCTGTTCCTCAGCTATGAGCAGCAAATATAAACATAGTTTGCAATGAGCATTTTAATAAAAAGAACAAACAGTGGCTGTGAGTGTTTAGGCTGTGATTGTAATAATTTGATTTTTTTTACCTAAGATGCTTTCTCTACCGTTCAGGAGAATCGTTAGGGGTCTAAACATGGGTAGTGGACTGCTGTCGAAAGTGCGCGTAACCATGGAAGATATTTGCTCAGAGAGCAAGCAATAAACATTCAGCTCTGCTTCTGTTTAGGACTTTTGGGAGGGATCGTTAGCAACTGGAACCACAAATGAGGGAAGAACATCAGTTTGTCTAGGCTTGATAGAGATTGACAATGAATCTGACGACTTGGAAAGCTGAGAACTGAGTTGCCAATTATGAATTGGTATTCAATATGCAAATCTGAAAAGAAGGGCAACCGTCAACCGGACGAATCTATGCCTTAAACTGGCTGGAAGTTGACGCAATAAACGATCCAAAAGGACGAAAATGCGCGCATTTGAATGGATTGAGAGGATCCCCGAAGCAAGATTTATTGTATCCGCCTAAACACTTTGCATAATGGTGAATGCATGGTGAGTGTAAAAAATCAGGAGTGTTTGGAAGTTAGGCACCCAGTACACAGTACGGCGTGGTTTAGTATCTGTTGGACGTAAAGTATCAGACGCTGGCTGGCCACCTCAGATAGGCATCCGTTAGACATTTTTTAAATTTAAGATGCCCTACAGTTAACAGGACTTGATTCAACAATTCTGTACGGTGTATCCCAGGTTTCGGGCAATGCACCGATATTATAAAGGTTTTTAAAAAAAGCCAGGAAGGAGGGGAAAAGGACTTGGATCTGGCAAAAAGTAAGTTGAAATATCATTAGCTTTCACATAAATATCTGCCTAAACCAACGTCCACATGCCCAAAAATGTCCTTCAGCCTGACAACATTGCAAGCCTCAGCTTAAAACTTTCATTTTGGTGGAAATTAGGTGAAAACGTGATCGTATGATGGTCGATTATTTCGCAGAATCGGTTCGACTGCCACTCAACTGGAGGTCATCTGCCACTGCAACAAACAAGTAAATCCTCGGCTTCAACCTTACAAAATCCTCCATTAATTTCAACAGAACCTTAGATCAGAGCCGGATACAAAACACGTTAATCTTCATAGTTCAAGCACACCGAACAGCTGTTTTACATCCAGATCAACAATAAACCTATGGTTGTTGTCAATACTTTGGTTTTATCCTCAAAATCATTTAGGTTACGATCGGGAAACTCTTGGTTCTGAAACGAGTATATTTTACTTGTTGGTCAGATTGGGGAAACGAGTAAATAGCAAAATAGTATAAAACCATTTTCAAGATAAGGATAATAATTTATAATCATTCGGCGCTGGTACTTGCATGTTGTGCATCTAATAGAAAATAAATGGCAACTGAATTCCAAATACAGTTTCTCAAAAGTTTCCCGCGATACTTTAATTCCTCTGACGCGAGCCTCTTACCGAAGTAGAAGTTGCGTCGATCCCTCTTTAAGTTACATGTACTTTGTTTCCTATCCGCAGTTGTATGCGGCCGGTAAAAAAAATAATGATCAGTAGTTAATCTAGTGTAAATATATATATATATATATTAGGTTTAAATATCTGCTTAACGTTCCTTGTTGATTGTCACGTAATAAGATTCAGAAACCTAACTAAAGCCAATAAAATTAAGCAGATTAAATCTTTTTTGCCTGGACTTTGGTCTTCTAACTAAGCTGGTAGTAACCATGAGCAGAAGTTTGATTTTAAAATGCCATATTTTTTTGTATAGTCTGCAGTGTAGGTATCCCAAGAAATACTATTTAATCGCCAATAGGTGTTAAATTATTGCACACAAAAAATTGCTATCGATTTTATTTTAGCAGGTCCGAAAAGTTAACTTTTTGTTGCACATTTAATGAAGTCGGATGACGCAGTAGGAACCGGCGTCAACTATTTACTTATTACGTATTTCCCTTCAAATATGTTATTCCAAAGGTTGCGTTTTAATAGGCTGGACTCGAAAATGTGAAGAGTCTACAGTGAAATGTATTAAACTTCAAAAGCCGGTAAAAAGCACATGACTGAAACATCCCATCCGATTATTTGTCAGACAGCCATTCAAGGACTTACAGTAAAAAGTATCTTCAAATGAATTCGGTAAGTTCGCCGGGTAAGAAGCAGACGAAACCAATCGCTGGTTCCGTCACGTTTCGGCGGCCTGACTGACTACTAGCAGGCAAAAGTGTTTGGCCTGGAAGGGGATAAGTCGAGTGGGTTGTATGCGTATGGTCGTGCGTTCCTTTTTCGAAAGCGCGCGGGCGCGCGCACACGCGGAAATGCGCTCGCGTAGAGCTATTTAAACAGCCGCTTTGATTGGTCGCCGGTTGCAGAGCTTCATTTTTTTACAGAGTCAACGATTTTTAAGGATGGAGCTTCGCGTTCCCATACACAAACGCAAACCATACTGGACCAATGGTGGGATGTGGTCATTTCCAACACAAGACGAAGGAAACTTTTGGCTATGCGGTCATTGTAGACAGCGGTGGATTAGAAGTGCATTGTCACCGAAGTAGACTGGCGGTTGAATCTTGGGGTGGCAATCATCATCGGAAGGGAAAAAAACGTTCTTAGAATATGTTCGTTTTTTTCCTTCAATGCGCACCGAAATATGCAAATCCACATTTCCAGTAAATTCAGCGATCTCCTGCTGTCGTAGGGAATAACAATTTCGGGCATTTTGAATTCTACTTTTTGTCGAAATTCGGCAGCCTAGTAACAATCGAAGAAATCTTACAAAATCATGGACTGATAAAGATGATCAATTTGAGACTACGGGCAGAGTGCGAGCAATATTCT